CCGCACGCATGTCTAAAGGCATCTTTAAGACGTCTTTAAGTCGTCTTTTAGACACACATATCTAAAAGATGACTTAAAGACGTCTTAAAGATGCCTTTTAGACATACATGTTGTTTGGGAATCCACTGATGGATTTTTAGAGAGCACACTTGTTTATTCTATTTACTAATTGTTTCGTTCGTTTTTCTGATTTCAGCACTGATTTTCGAAGACCAACGCTATCGAGCAGTCGTTATTGTATCTATTTAAACGAATCGCAACCGCGCGCGGCGGTTCGTCGCGTCGCGTTCGGGAGTGCCGTTTAAATAATCGAACTAGAGACTTTTCAAAGCCCATTTGAGGAGTGTTCATTAAGTGTCCGTTCCTGTCGATGGCCGCACTTACGAAGTGGAGGCGAACTTGACGGAACGGAATATTAGACTTTCACATGGGCTTTTGAACGGGAGTGTAAAATCGCGCGAACGATTTTTGTGTTTTCGCGAGTGTGCCGGAGGACAGCCCGAGAGGAGGACGAGGCCTAGGAGAGGCATCAGGCACCGGCGGAGCAACTTTACGGTAATGTTATTTTTCATTTTGTTTAAAATTAATCTTTTTCCGGTTTATTATGAGTCGTTTTACTTTATAATTGCATAATTTCGTAATAATAATTAGAGAACAAAAAGTAATGTAACATTTTCTAAAAGTTTCTCGTCAAGATCTTTTACGGAAAATCTTTCGCGCAACAATCATTTATATATCTAGCCGAATAATAAGTTCGATACACGTAAGAATTATGTCTTGTAATATATTAGTTTTTTTAACACCGCTTTAATATAAATTTTGTATCTGTGTTACAGAATCAACGTACAAACTCCGCTGCTGCGCATCGGTGAGTGACAATTTTTTTATTGAGGTAACGAATCTACATCTCGTTGATCGTAGATCCGTTACCATAAAATAGATATGTTACAAATGATTTCACGCGATACATTTTCTTCTCATGTACAACAAATCCATGTACTTAAAAATTTTTTTTAAACTTTTTTACAAATTAACCGTGCACGCTGTTACTTAACAGATTGTACTTAACTATGAATCAGTGATTCACTGTTTTCACTGCTCATTGATAATCCACTGATTGACTTTTAGAGAGTAGGCATAACTACACGTTTTATATTGTAATACATTGTAAAATTACTTGTGATCAAAATGAAATAATGGTAAAAATGTAAAGAGGAAACCATTAAAGAAAAGAGGACCGCCGATCAGAATTGGTGGAGGGCCTCTGCAAATTGTTTTGTTTTTATCGGATAAAATTTTAATTTCAAACTAAAAAAAGGTATTTTATTTAAAATTAGAAAAATGCAAAGTTTAATTTAACCACGGTGCAATTGTAATGATATATCCGGTATCAACAGAGCAATCTTTACATATCTATTGACTTGAATTCTAGATAAATTCTAAATTGGAGTAATTTGTTCCCATCCTTTATTGAACCGATACAACGATATTTTTTAATTTAAAAATACAAATAAAAATATATTTATACATATACCAAACAGAGCACAAAAATTAAATGGAATTAAAGGACTGTTAGCCTTGATATATGTATATTATTACATACAATTGTTAAATTGTTTGTTAAAAAAGTGTTAACAATATAAGTTTAATGAATAGAACATAATTTTCTGATGCCACGTACATTTAAGGAGGAATTTATGTTAAATGTGCATAATTATTAAAATGAATTCTTCGTTTGCATTTGAGGGTCAAGTTGTTTTGCAATAAGCTATATTCCCTAGAAAACGAGAGTCTGCAGTCAGTAAATATTTTATGCACAGCGGCCGATAAAATGGCAACAAATAGATAAGGTATCAGCATTCGGTACTTTAACTCAACCGATACGAAGGTATCGATCTGCCCTGTTCGAAAATAGCAAATATCTACTCGAGGTACTCTGTTGTATCATCCATGGAGCACATCCCTATCCGGTTCACATTAGAGGGCGCGAAGATTTCTGATTCTCCCAGGGATGATCTGCATACTTATTTAGGCTTATTGTTAACGAGATCCATAGATCCGATCAGAATACATCGCGGACTATATTTCCCTGTCATATTACTCTTATACATGATTTTATGCACGAGACTGTAATAAACATTTGAGCAAAATTAGAAGCAAGAGATACAATTTAATTGAAGAATAATAAGGATAGAAATAAACAAGATATATGTATAATATTTAACAACAAAGATGCGGGGAGAGAGAGAGTGTGTGTTAAAAGCTAAAAAATATTTTTATTTATATTTTTAATTAAACGTCTATCGTTTGTATCGATTCAATAAAGGATTGGAACAAATTACTCCAATTTAGAATTTATCTAGAATTCAAGTCAATAGATATGTATGACAATTGTAGAGCGCATACCAATTTCCCGTGAAATTATACTCTATGGTTCGCTTAATCTGCGAAAAACGACATGTTTATTTTGCGAAAATTATAACATCACAGACTAACTAATTTATATTACAGTTAATATACGCTCATACAAACATCTTCATTCGCGATATGTTTGCCTTTAATTAACGCATTTAATAAAGCAGCCGCGATATTTATCGCGATAAAATATTAATGAGACATCATGACTATTACATGACCCAAAATGAATAACACATATTAAACGCAACAGAGATTAAATCGAAGATAAAATTGCCGAAGTGATCGATGATGCGTGGACTTGTTTAAATAATGATGCGGGATGAGTCACTTCACACACAGGTATCGTTCGGTATATAATCCTATAAAATAAATCATGAAATTATTGCCTACCGCGTAGACCGCTACACAAATTTGTGAATTTTCAAATAACGCGAAATTCACTCGTTCATGTCAATTTTATATGATCAAATAATAACGTATTAATTTTATTTTTAAACAGAATGATGGGTTAATAAACGTATAATGAATTATCAGAAATATTTGGTAATTGTGAATTTAGAATTTATGATTGTCTAAAAACCAATGTTATATTATAGATGCGTACATTATAGCACGTATAATTTCGTAGTTGTAAAAAGTTGCCGCTGCGTCCGATCTAAAGTTTCGTAAGTAACACGTTGCTCGTTGTCTTTCGAGATATTACAATCGTTTGAATTTTGATCCTTGAGACAACACCCGACATTCGCGTAAGCCAGAAACGTACGGAAAGCTCTTAATCCCTGGGTAGCATTAAACATTCTTTGGGACCGCGTTATCCCCGGAGTTATCCCGAAAGGGTTAAGTGACGAATAACTGTACGGCTTACGTTAATTCCGCGGTGGTGGCTGCCCTATATATCGCGTGATTGCGCCAAACCAGAGGAAACCGCGTACAAGTTCGGATGTTTATGCTTGGAGCAAAACCGAGAAGTGCAGCTCCAGCGGAGTAACTCTCGCCTTGCCGCCGCTATGGCAATAAGCATGCGCTATATGGTTCCCTCATGCATATTCGGCAAAAGTAAACTTTACGGCGAATTTGCCCCTCGGCCTGTTCCGCGCGCAACTAGCTAATTAACTATCGGATAACTTTCGATAACCACGAGTTGTCCGCGGCACAGTGTCTCGCAGCTTACACGTAATCAACCTGTCGTCGTTATCCGTTACACGATGTTCACGCAGCTTGACACAGGTCTCTCTTTACCTGCTAGGCGACGATGAGGAGTTTTGAATAATTCCCAACAAATCAAAAGTGCAAAATGCTTTCCAATTTAAATGTGGCTTCCTAAATTCCACGACCAAAACAAAAAGCAGAGTAACAAATATTACTCGACCCGAGGGGGAAACCGCTGACAATACAAAATCTTGTACACCAATGCCCACTAATGCCCAGTGGGCAGTACTTTATTTTAATATCTTATTTTTCTTATTTATTTTGTTTTATCTTATTTTATCTTATTCTATCTTATTATATCTTTATAATGCCCCAGCAAGGCCTAATGCCCAAATTAATGCCCAAAAAATGCCTAGTAATGCCCAGTAATGCCGAAAATTAGTACACCACAATGCCCTCAGCGGTTTCCCTCTCGACTTAATCATACCAAATTGATATAAGCGCCAGAATTTCACTTGGAAATATGTAAAATTTGCAAATAAAAAATGTAAAATGGTAAAATGAGATGCCTCTGGTTTGCTCTAGAATAAAATATCAATTTTGTGATTGTAAAAATTTTCCCAGTTTAGTACAAAATAATTAAACGTAAAATTACGCGGAAGCAATAAAGTTTGATTCTATCTTTCATATGTTATTAAAGATTATTTTCGGACTAAAGAATATAACGATGTTTTAAGAAGCCATTATCAAGTGTATCGTGTACATAACGGAGGTAGCTATTCAAGATAGTTGTTGGGATTAAAGGTGCTATTCAGTAGGCGATATTTTCATAATCGTAAAAAGTAATATTATATTCACATTTGCGTTCCTTGTTTCTGACGCTATAAACTTTTACGAAGGTAAATTATTGCTGTAACATAACGTCAGGTAGGATTTTTCTAAGTAGGATACACGAAACGTTTCCAAAAGTCGGAAGTACTTGTTTTATTGTGGGTCATTAAATATTGCGGCTGAGAAGTATCGGGAAAGGATAAAAGAAGAGACAATCGTAAAGTTCTGTAAAAAATTATATTGCATCTACTTTCGTCGAGAAAGAAAGAGATTTATTTAACGTGGAATTCCTTATTATATTTCCCTAAATTCTTTCTCCAATAAATTATTTTAGATAAATATCACAGCCTAGCCGAGAGCTTTTTCAAGCTACTACACATTTAATCGAATTTTTACAATTCTGCGAACATGCGGTTTAAGATACTTGTGCGTTGCCCTCTTCACGGTTTCGATGCGCTAACTTCAGCAGGTCTCGCCGGCGATTCTTTCGCGGGTTGCGGGAAGAATAGAGATACACAGAAGCAGACTGCAAAAACAAAATGTATTAGAAAAGAAATTAGATTAAGCTCTATCAGAGAATTAGAATTAATTTTGCTTACTCTTAAATCAATTAAAATATTCCAAGTCAATTAAAAAAAATTTAGCATTTAGGTATAACAGCGGTTTATAAGAGACGGTTTAAAAGCGGTTTATCCGCTGCAGCCTTATAATTTGATAAAGTTGAATAAATGAAATTAATTGTATCGGTGTGCAAATCGTGCGTCATCTCGCAAACAAGAGGCTTTATAAATAATAAATTTGATGAAATCTTCAATGCAAACAGTGTTACAATGTAATAGATAAGCCACATCTCTTATCTGCGATCTGACACGAGTCGCATAGAAAGGATTAAACTGGCACGGGTTGCATTAATTTTACCGGAGAAGAAACAACCCAATCCCACGAAAGCGATGGTGCACTCGGTATTCAGAAGTGCGGAGAAAATGAGATTTCCCACGATAGCGGCGATATTTCCAATGGTCACGAGGACGCTGGTGCTCGTGGCTCTGTAACAAAATGATCAATTTCTGTCGGCCGATTATATTTATCTCTCGCGACGATGTATCTCCGTTTCCTCGCTTTAATGGACACGGATACGATGATGAGCGGCGAATCGTGGATTGCGCCCGATAAGTCCCCGAGATTGCTACCGTTCGCGCGCTCGCCACATCTGCCACGTGGTTGCACGTGGCGCAATTAATTTCACCGGAATTACACGGGGATGCGCGGACGAGAGTGCGGAGGATACGGTCGCGTGCGTCAAAGAGACGCGCTTATATATTCGCGCGGCATTACCTTAATGGGACGGGAATAACGTCGACATTCACCGCGGTAACGATATTACCCGCTATTCTTGTCGTCACGATAACCGCCGCCGCCAGCGTCAGCATATACGGCGGAGACTGCGCCCAATTTATTCCGAAACTGCTTGCCACCGATATCAGGAGGGCCGTGACTGCAACAATGGTGTTGTACCCGTTAATTTACGGATTCTTCCCGCGGGACAATCGTCCCATAGACAATATTTGGACACGCCGTGTGGCATGAATATGTAAAAAATATGCATAAAAGATTAACATTCTCTTGACAAGGAGGAGACCCGGGAAAAAAAATGGAAATATGTCTCAATCATGTAATATCTAATCAACAATGAATAAGTTTAGTCGACCTTAACTGGCACGTGTTTAATAAAATACAATAAAAAGATATACAGTGCGGCGTTTCGACCAAGGGTTTAGGTCCTTCTCAGGCACATTCTTAAAATTAATTAGGCCAATGTGATATGCCGTTAAACGATAAAAATCCAAAAGAGTTGAGTTATGATTATAAAATTAACAGGCACAAAGATAAAATATGTACGCTGTCTACAAAGGCCGGGGAGAATGACCATTAATATCTAATTATATCCAATTCTAAAATCATCAGATCTTCAGAGATCCGATACTTTTATTGAATATATTATATTTTATTGAATCTATTGAAATCTAATTATTCTCTTAGGACATTTAATTATAGATTTAGTTAGATCTCAATAGATAACGTCGAACATTCGAGGAAAGTGTCAAGTCCCTGAGGATCTGATGATTTTTGAAATTGGATCTCATGAGATATACAGGGTGTTATGTAATACCCGCCTCGTCTCTTAATTACGAATGGCACGGACTAGAACGAGTTGAAAAGTCCTCTATCATTTTGTAATTTTTGCAGTAGTTAACGAGTTATTAATTATTAAAATTCGCTGTCTTAGCCCGGCCTACCGCCCAATTCAAACTCGCGGTGAGATGCAGCCGTCCCGCGATCGGTGTTGCTAGGCGCGCGGGGAATAGTTTATGACACGCGGGCTACGTATAATAAGCAACTCCCCGCGCGCCTAGCAACAGTAGCAACGCCGATTGCGGGACGGTCGCATCTCGCAGCGGCTAATAGCGATTTTTAATAATTAATAACTCGTTAACTGTTGCAAAAATCACAAAATGATAGAGGACTTTTCGACTCAGTCTAGTCCGTTCTATCCGTGAATAAGAGGTGAGGCGGGTATTACATAACACCTTGTATAATAATTAGATGTTACATGATTGAGACATATACAGGGTGTCGGATTCGATTTGGACGACTCCAAAGATTATAGTAGATTGGGTCAAGCTGAGAAGAAAAGTTATATACCATTTTACAAAATCCGTAATTATTATCGCGTAATTAAGAAAAACGTCTGAGCCAATAAGTGCACGGAGGAGCTGAAGGCCGGACTCGGCAGACATGCAAAATGGTGTATTATTCTCCTACCACCAGAAAAACTTTTTCGGCGCGTTGTCATATGTCGTGCGTTCGCTCGCTGCGCGCCGTTCGCCCGCTCACCGCTCGCCCCCCGTCTCTCATCGATCGATGCGTGACTCCACCTCTCGCTATCGGATCTTGAGAGATGTCAACAAATACACCATTTTGCATGTCTGCCGAGTCCGGCCTTCCGCTCCTCCGTGCACTTATTGGCTCAGACGTTTTTCTTAATTACGCGATAATAATTACGGATTTTGTAAAATGGTATATAACTTTTCTTCTCAGTTTGACCCAATCTACTATAATCTTTGGAGTCGCCCAAATCGAATCCGACACCCTGTATAATGAGATCTGTTCCATTTTTTTACCGGGGAAATAATTTTTTACACGGCTGCTTATCGCATTCGTTTTTTAACGTGGAGAATGACTCGTATCAATTTCCTTAAAAACAAACTATCGCTCGCAAGAGAGGATATGTTTGAGTTTCCATAAAAGATGTAACGATTATCTTACGCATTATGATCTGTTTCCGAAGCTTGGTGGTCGTTACGAATCCGGCGAGAAACGAAAATATAACGGCCGATGATGCGATGACGGTCGAATTCTGATAAATCACGGGATTGATAGTCCACTGAAAAAGCACCGTGGCGTTAGAGCTGCTGTCGCATAAATTCTATTGAAGGAAATTATTAATAAAGCTCGCATAATTCGCGATTAATCAGCGATCCGTTTAATTATCCGTTAATTAAAAACACTACGGTTTTATTCCGGGATTAAGGCTTTAATATTGATTTAACGATAATCAGATTATCGGCGAACTGGCGCCACGCGCTTTTTACCAACCCTGAAACACGCGTCGTCGAAGTTGGAGCAATTGAGATATCGCCTGGCCGGTAGAGCCGCGTGACGGTCCAGCATCTCGCATATAGTCGGCTGCCTTCCATCTGCTGTCCAATTCTCCGCGTCGAAGTTGTTGAGAATGATAAAGAGTTGCGGCACCCACAGCCTCATCGTGTTAAATCTGCGCGATCGAACGTCGCTTTCGAGTATTATCGCGTCGCAAAGCGAGGCCAGGGTGCCGGAGACTAATCCAAACTTACCCGAGCATACTTCCAAATTGGAGGAAACTTACGAAGCAGAAGGCGGGCAGGTAAGCCGTCGTCGTCAGTAATAGCTTCGTGTTGTACAACGAGATGCGCATCCTCTCGAGGCTCGCCTCGAGCACGGGTCGCGCCAATTGCGTCTTTTGCCGAACGAACAGCGCTTTTATCTGCAACGAGAAGGGAGCGACGATGAAAGGCGCCCTTTTCTCGGCTCACCGAGTGAATTATGCGTCCGATTTGTGCACCGCTATCTAAATGCAGTGGCGGGAGCGGCATAGAATACGAAAGCACAGACATACGGCATAAGATAGGGAAAAGTATATAATGTATGATACATAAAGCGTGAATGGTATAAATTTATCATTGTTTTCATTATCACGATCTGAATAAATAGATCTGCGAAATGGTGATTTATTGTTCAAAGGTCTCGCGATAAAAAGAGGTGCGAAATTTAAATTCGCCTGGGGTGTGTGTAGTTACGCCCAGTTACCGACCCTTCATTCGCCTGGAAAATACGATTTGCGCGCCTTTCTCTACTTCCGTTTCCGCTCTACTCCGTTTTCGCGCTCTTTTTCTCATCGCCGCGGACGTGCCATAAATAAAACGTGTCGTTTGTATCTAGCGCCGAGGCGCTATGAAGTCGCGAAGGATATCTCTCGGTCATTTGTTAGAGCCCGAAATAACGAGTTTTGCTCGATAAGCCGGCAAAAAGTTAATAACGCCCGAATAATGCAATATTGTCGGTGCCCGAGTCAGAAATAAAAATGGCACCTTGCTCCGTATTCTGCCGAAAAACGGTCGCTAACGGGTATAGCGATATACAATGTCCACTTGAAAAATATCGAAAATAATAAAAACCGAAGAGTCTCGCAGAGTCAAACTTTTTCAATTATATTTTAGCGTGTTTCGGCCTAAAGTTAAACAAAAATGAATAGTCCGATCTGAAAGGGAAAAATGTCGGGGAAAAATAAGGGATGTAGATATACAAGTGGAATCATATTACGCATTGTTCGACTTACCGGGAACGTATCCGCAGGTTGCCTAGTGTTCATACAATACATCCTTCTAAGTAATTTCAAGGCAGCATCTGACCTGCCAGTTGCCATGAGGTACTTAGGGCTTTCCGGCAACATGGTTGCCGTCACGAGGCCGACGACGGGTGGTATTGAGCAGATCAGCAGGTATATACGCCAAGAATCGTAGTCTTGGCCAAGGATGTCGATGTGCCAGTCCAACGGTAGTATCGTAAAGCCTAGAGCTGTCGAGTCGTACGTTTAATTGTCGGGGCAAGTCCACGTTGTGTCTTTATTAATTTCTTTTCTCCCCCGGGAAGTATTGAGCAACCTCTCGATTTTACGCGTGGTGACAGTCGACAATGGGAGGTCTTCGTCATACAGAAAATGAACCCTTCAGCCAAAATTAATTAATTTGTTTCTCCAAGTTTTGCAATCTCTCGCTCGCGCATTCGACCGGAACTATTCCGTGTCAATGTGATTCACCGTGCGCGTTGTTAGGTAAAGTTTGCTGGTTATTACACACAGGACGTATCGCGATAGTGACACGTAATCTAGTTTCGAACTAGTTTCGCCAACCTCGGCAACAAGAGCTGTATGAGATCACTTCTGAATCCTTTTCACGCGAGTCACCCGCAAAATGTTGTACTTACGTTTAGCTAGATTAACAGTGTAAGTAAAGTAAGCAGCAGATGCGACACTGCAAATAATGAATTTGTTGGGAAATTTCGCGATCATGTACAGAAAGTTTACACCGATTTCTTTCTTATTTTCTCCTGACTCGAATGCAGCTTTTATCTTTACACGCGTCTCTTATCCGCTCTTGTGGGCAACGAATTGTTATTGATAAGTACGGTGCATTAAACGATATATCGCGCTATCGCGTGTTCACCTGCTGGCACGATGTTCGCCACGGCGAAGAGAAATCCCGTCCATGTGGTGAAGCGGGGCTTGTACTTCGCCGAATGGAATTCCGTCAGATACGTCATCGCCATCGCCAACGGGCCACCTACCCTGTAAATCATAGATATGCGCGCGTTACATCTTATCGGGCGTAACACTTGCGAAGGAAGGAGGGCGCACGATCAACTTTGAGCAGGATCCGTTTGAATCCTCGATATTTTTAGAAAAGGAAACTTTGACTAACATATCAAAATGTTTGACACGAATAAATAACAAATAGTCTTCTCATTGTCAGAATAAGAGAGCACGATGAGAGCGTGAAACAATTGCGCTTTAAGAGACTTTTAAATAAAAACTTTGGGTAGCTTTCTTAGAAGAGTCATGTACTTACAAGATTCCGCTGATAAATTTGACTAGTAGAAATACATAGTATGATTGGACGCCACTGCTCACAATGTTCAAAATCGAATCACCTAATAATGCGAGGATGAACAGCGTTTTCATACTTATGTAGGGAGTTATGTAATCCCATATAAAAGCAGTCGCTGTCATAGCTATAAAAGATCAGTAATAACGTAATTAATACACTGACAAATTTTTTTTAAACTAAGTAAATAGATTTACATAAAATCATTTTTTTATTGAAATAAATATTTATTCTGTTTAAATAAAAATATCAAATTTCAAGTAAATCTGTGTATTATATTAAGTAAATTAACTTAAATCATTACATTTTCTACATTCAAATAAAGATTTCATGAGATAGAGAATATTATTTATTAAATGAAATCATTATTTTTGTCAAATAAGAAATCCAATTTTCTTCGCTGTAAAACTTATATCTTAGTAAATATTTTATAGAATTAAAGTAAATGTTTTAAATTTAAAATTATCTACTGTTTGATATTGAATAAATACGTAAACTAAAGAAATACATGTTTTAATTTGTTTATTATTTTTAAAATTTAAGTTAATAAAGTATTAAGAGTAAAGTAATATCTTTTTGGATTAAGATATTTTTTTGTCAGTGTATAAATTTAATATAAATTAAACTCCGTGAAATAAAGAAATATTTTGTAAAATAATATTTTACTAAAGTTTATTTGCGTTGATCCTAATTTGAATTCCGTACCTACGTAAGGAAATGCAACGAGTACGCCCTTGCGAAAGAACGTGAGTTCGAGATCGCATTCGGCCGATGCCAAAATAAATGCACCGGAAGTAGTGTCAAAAACGGCGGTCCACGCGATTGGCAGCACCGCCAGTAGCAGCAGTACATTAAATAGCCCATAGCCTGGATCAGAGAAATACAATGAGACGGCAAAAATTATTATGCGTTTGAAATGACACCAATTGTAAAAAGACTTTACCGGTCGTGGAGATGGCTCTATCGAAATCGGCGGGTCCGTTAATGCTGTCTGAAAAACGAAAGGCGAGTGAGTTTGCGACACGGGGACTCGTATCTACATTGTGAGTTATGTAACAAACGACGTAATTAAAATGCACGAAAGAATCTGGGTATAGAGACATTTACGTGCAGAAGGAACCGCCGGGTTACAGATAAGACAAAGAAATAAGAAAAAGAAGGATCGCGTTCAGCGGTTTCTTCGAAAATAATTGCGATGTGCTGCCGCAAAGTTGCCAGCGAGAACGTGACTTATCTAGTATACACGTTGAGAAAATAGATATTAAACAAATGTGTCTGCTTGTACTTAGGTACTTATAATATACGAAACTCGTCGAAAATTCATGCATAATACATTATACATACAATTTGTGATAACTACATCTGCATATCGTTTCTGCGACGTGACATGTTAATCACAGACGAGTCTAGAAGTCTATATGTGTACAGCAATCTACACTTATAGCAATAGAGATCTGTTAGAAGAATAACAAGTAAAATTATATTTTCTTTTAATATCTCACTGTTCGGTAATCTGGATAGGAACTCGTAGGGCGACTCTTATTTGCTCCCGTATGCGCACCACTTCGTTAACTCGCTATGCAGAATTACTTGGACTTCGAAGTATATTGGGCTAACACTATCGGATGTTACGCAAGAAGGGCTTCGGGCTCTCACCGGTTGTCGTGGTGATCTTGTCATGATCCCGCTCACTAGTGGGCATATCCGACGCGACGAGTTGGAGAGACGACTGCGCCCGACGTGATGGAGTTAGTCCCGCTTCTCTCAGGACGAAAATAGAGACCCCGGTCGATTTAGGTGGCGATCTCGTTCTTGGCCAGGTGCTTCTCGTTGCTCTCGTTGCTCTCGAACGGAACTAATTGCGCCAAGTATCCGGTCGTTTGCTCACTTTGGATAGAAAAGAAAACGTGCTTTGCGAGGATATGCTCAGATGTGCATTTTTTTTATCGGTGCGATCCGCGGTGCCGATTCCTACGCGTACGATCGGACTATAAAACGCGATCGCTCTTTCTGGCGAGCTTCCCGCTCGCGTAACCCGCCAATAAAAATGGGTCAAACGGTCCAATTGTCGGATCAGCTGTTTCTCATTAATGAATCAAGCGTCTTGAAATTCCCTCGATTTATCATATTAATTCACTCATCTATATTACAAGTAATAAAATGTTTATGAAAATAGTGGGTATTTAAATGATCAAATTTTTTTATTTATATAATACTTATAAACAATAATGTCGTGAATCAGGAGCGACGTGTATCCAACAATTAAATTAGAAAAGGCCATTTTTTAGTAAAATATTTATTTGTATTAAAGTTGCTTGCATTAGATTTTTATTGAACAAGTATTAAGAATTTGTCTCTTTGTCTGATTGTTTGAATATATTTTAATATAAAAAATAATAAAGTATCTAGTTTGTATAAATATCCATTTTAATTGGCGCAATTTGATATCATTACTTTTGTAGAGACAATAAAAAAATTTTTTTTTCTAACAAAATATATCCAAATAATTAAATTACATAATTCTTGATTGGATAGCGTTTATACTTGGCGTCATTTTTTACCTTTTTAAAAAAGGTTATTTTTAAGTTTATTTTTACATCTTCTCTTTTATGACAATGAGTTCAATCTTGAGATGAAAATAATAAATAAATAAAAGGACTTTTATTTATTTATTTAAAATCTATATTTGAGAGAACTATTTAATTAAATTAAATATTGATAAGATCATTATTTGCATTAAAAAATTGTTGATTTTATAACAACAGTCGTTTAAATTGTCTTGTATTATTTGTTTCACAATATTTGCTATCAAAACTGCCATAATAACGAGAATCCGACTAACGGCGTTTTACACTGAAAGCGTATTACTCATATTAATTTGAGGATGTAAAACGACCATTTCATATTTATGGGTTTTAATAATTTAATTATAACATTACTGATGCACATTACAATGCCAAGGTCGACTACCTGCTCGGACTAGACGGACAAGCCGTGAAAGCGTCGCAAACTTTTACGACGTAAAACTTTCTCACTCGCATTTGTTGTATTTCAACTTAACGGCGTGAACAGTGAACTCTACGCTATACTGAAAGACCTATTGCCCTCTTGAAGAAGATGAACAGAGCGAGACAGACAAATGGTTTCCATTTTGTCTCCTCCTAGAAATTCGGATTGGTCAACGATTTTCTATCTCACGACTTCTTTCTCGCTCACATAAGGTGAGATCAGAGTCAGAATTACTAGAAAGGCACAGAAATGGGAATCGTTTGTTTGTCTCACTCCATTTTCGAGAGGGCAGCAGGTTTTCCAGTGTAGTATAGAGTTCACTGGGCGTGAAAGACTAAACAAAAGCGATGCTTCAATTTTTCAGTTTATTACTGTTTCTCTTTTGTTTGTTGGACTGGCAAATAAATATTGTAAATCGATATTTTTTCACTCTCTCGAAATTTGCGCCTGCCAGCTAATCTGGACGAGCGGGGAAAGGGCGATTCAGAAGCAATAATCATGGCAGTGATCCTAGAAATCTCTCGATATGATTAGAAACGATTAGAAATGATTAGAAACATCTGTTTATAACTATCATTAAATATACGGTCCTATTTTTATGACTTTAAAGAGAAAAATGATTGTTACAGATAATGAAATTCTATAGATTTTTATTTCGTCGAAAAGCGTATAAGAAAAGTAATCGAAAAAGTTTTATTAATATACTTACAGCCACACGTAATGAAAGAGCAAAAGTACTACTATAAAACGCACCGTAATGTTTTCAGTTTTCGCTGCTCACTGTTCATGTTCACTCGATTTCGGAGATCCAAATGATTTTTCTCATGTAATTAATTTTATGGTATCGCGAAAGTATATCGCAGGTATACTTTCAACTGCCTTTAATCACTTTCGCTGTTTAATCGAATGTTATTAAATAAACAGAATAAATCCATACCAAAATAAATGGAAATGACTCGTGGAAACGCGAACAATTTCGAAATAGAAAGAAATGGTAACATATCACTCGGCGGAACTTGTGGCGAAAAAATATATCGTGATGGCTGAGTATCACAATGCGACTCTCAATTTCTCGTGAAAAAATAAAAGACAGTATACGACTAATACAACACACACATGTTACACTTATCGCGATTAACATATCACATATTACACAGGCACTATGCAAATACACTCATTTCCCGCTGGTATGAATTAATACACGTGTACATGTTGATATTCGCGTTTTTATTCGCTACTTTAACTATCGAGATACGACTAGCAAAAGGAAGTTATTTGCATTCATTTCGTGCAAGAAATTTGCGTTTCGTCGATTAGATAACGAGATAACACACAGACGAGCGTCACACTCAAGTTCGTTTCATTACCGTAAATGAAATGGTAAAACTTCTTCAGAGAAGTCGGTTTTTCTGTATATTTATTTGTGTCAGTATTTATCGTTGCATACTATAATTGAAATTTATTTCATGCTACGTATAAAATAATGAATAAAATAATAATAATAGTAGTGGTAATTAGCATCAAAGCAAATATTAACTGGATATTATTATTAACTGTTATTATAACTTTTATATATTCAAATATTTTTAAGTATCAGATTGTTTTAAATCATCGTTCACTTTAGAATAGAGAATGCCTTTTGAAACAATCGTGATATTAAAATATCGCTTGATGAGATTCGCTCTGGAAGATTATTAATGTAGTAAGAGACTAGTCCAAGGGAAAAAATTGATTTTTCTCCGTCCGCGTTCGTTTCATCGCAAAGGTAGGGCTCGTCATTTCCGGTTCCAGGCCATGCAGACGCTTTATGGCGGTAGAGACGGAAATGGATATTTGATCCGGCAGTGTCGCACTGATCTTTGGTCACCGACTAGTTCTCTCAGTGGTATTCGACCCAGTTGACAGGAATGCAAGAGTGCCACGCCAGGTTCAAATTGGATTCAACATAGTCTTCTCTCTAGTTCGTGACCGATGGCTTTCGTTTAATGGTGAGGGAAGTACACATAGAAATTGTCGGCACACGGAAGAAACTCTTGTAGAAGACAACTCCCGTATTCCTCCACCGTTTCATCTTTCGTTGTCAGACTTTCAATAGATTCCGTCTCACTGAATTCTATTTTGCAAAACTGCGTGCCACGAGAAAAATCAGTTAATTCATAATTTTACTTTTATTCGTTTCTGTTAAATAACATTGTTCGGCCTTTTAATTTGGTGCACTATACATCGCCATAACCAGAGAGAAATGTTCCTATCTCGCATCTTTGGATACAAAAAGTATATGAATCTATCATATTCTAGGTATCTCTTAAAAAAAGTTTTTATACTACAAATACTTAACGAAATTGGAATATAAAAAGGAAATGGCTGTTCAGATAAATGATATGGCACAGATATGGTCATAACTTTAAATGTTCGCAGTTTAGATAACATTGCTTTTACCACAAAAGTACGTGACATTCGATAAAATGCTCAATGAAAACAGCGACAAAAATGATTTCAATAAAAAACACCGCACGCCGCGTTCTGACAGCTGATAAAACACTGTGGTCTTTCGATGACGCGGTTAATTCATCGCAAAAACTGCACCACTGGGCTTTACGCCGTGTCGCCCGTGCGTTCGCTGTCGTATTTGTTCCGGAATCACCGCTCGCGTAGGTGCACGATTATGAGAAATCAGGCACTTGCATCGCATACGGCATATTAATAACGATATCGTCTGATAGCGCGGCGAGCGATAGCAATTTTTTCTCGTTCCTAGGAGGTTATCGTAAAAGAATATTATACTTATCATTTATAGTTCTTAATTGACACGATGGGAAGAGAAGCTGTTATCGTAGACGGCGTAATTCGGTCCCCTTGACTTAACCATGAAGAGAAATGTTAAATATATATTTCTGGAGCATTTATTCGATAACGTACGAACAATGCGGTAAAAAGATATAGCAATATTCCGCAATATTGTCGGAAAATAATAATTGTTACTGATATTGAAAGGGAGAGAAGGGCAGTCTGCGAAAATAGCACACTATTATTACTGGCCATTGTGGTTTCATTTACGAACTGTAATCGTTTGGAGCATTTGGGCCATCAATTTCCAATTTGGAAATCCAATTGAGGAATTTCTTCCTCAATAAACTGTACTACAGCTAAAACTATGTTAAGGCCATTCAAATTTAGATGAGCTATTATTGATACGAAAAAATGTATATATGTACTGCATAAATATTTAATTAATCTCGTCTGGATTCAATTACGAAGATTGACGAAAGTGTAAGAGCTAGAAAAAATTTTTTTAATGAAAGTTGAATGGTTTGAATAGTACTTTAAAACTGTGGGCGAAAACTTTTTTTAATTTTTTCTTTTTCAAAATACTCCCACCACTCAACATTTTTTTATTACAATTTTGAACTTTACTATATACGGTTGAATTTGTAATAAAATAAGTTTTAATTTAGTGCTAAAAATGTTTCAAAATTGTAATAAAACATGTTGAGTGGTGGGGGTATTTTGAAAAAGAAAAATAAAAAAAATTTTTGCTCATAGTTTTAAAGTACAATTAAAACCATTCAACTTTAATTTAAAATTTTTTTCTAGCTCTTACACTTTCGTCAATATTCGCCCCAAAAGAGAAAATCAAGTTTTCTTCAAAGGAGTATTTCACCACGTAAAAGTGCGTATGGGCACGTATAAAAAAATACGTGTCCCTTATTTTGAGCTGAGAACCAACATATTCAACACTCATCAAAATCGGTGTGTCCCCACTTGGGTAGGTTTAAGTTACAGTTACAGATGCATGGAGAGAACGTAACGAAGTTAAGTTAGAGTTACCAAAAAAAGTAACTGTAACTGTAAGTTCCCAACCCTTATTACCATTATATAAAATTATACATTGAAATCGTATCTCATAAATACATAACACACGCAGCGACGTGTTCATTTATTAAAACTAGAAAAGCTGGATCATTCTGAGGCAGAAACACGAGACGATGTGAGAGGTAATGTAAATTATCTCGGTGTTGAAGTTAGACGGTAATTCGGGCAATTTCGAAGCCAAATGCAGTTTAACCGGACAAGCGTAACACGCTTATTGTTAAGCGCTTTCGTCGCGAAGCGAGCGACGTAAACGAAGCGGCCTCGTAACTAGTCGGATACTTTTGCTGCAAACCGTCTAAAGTCGAACAAACAGCTGCCATTGCCATCCACACGTCAATCCCTCACCCTCCACCTTCGTGCCGCCCTCCGCCCCCTCGCTCGCCTGATGGGGCAACTCACTTAATGAGTTTCTCGGGATATCCGATGCGGAATGCGGGCTCTATTCAAACTTATTTGGCTTTCGTAACACCCTGCTCTCGGATTCTTGCAAAGGACGCTGCTAGGACGAGAGAGCGGTAACGATATCTCGCGTTTCTCTAGTATCTATCTACAATAGTATCCATAATCTACTTAACTCAACTTGTGACTCATATTCGGGTTAACTTAACTTTTTACTCGTCGCACGCGAAACTTTGACATCTTGGATGTCACATAGAAAGGAAATTGTTTGACGGTAAATAGTCAAAGAAAATTGAAACGGTCTAACATTATAATTATCTGCAAAAAGTTATCTTACAATAAATTAAAAAGTCCTAACGCAAACTCTAACTGTGGAAAAAATTCAAAAAGTCCGAAAAACAGAGAAAGAGAGAGAGAGAGAGGGAGGGAGGGAGGGAGGGAGGGAGAGAGAGAGATTATAAATCGAAAGTAAAAGGAATATTACATTATTCCTTTTCTTTGGATTTGTGAGAGCGAAAGACAAACTTTGTTTGAAACCCCTCCAATGAGTTCTCCCATCTGAGATTGACGAGTTGGAGGACCGCTCTCAGAAACCGTGATCCCGTGTTTGCGGGTAAATTCGCGCCGATCCTCCTCGCGCGCCGAACATCGGGAGGAAAGCAAAGGAAACGGAAAGTTTGCGCGTGCACTTAAGCTAGCGAATGGAATGGAACTCGGGGAAATCCGTTGCCGCGCGTGAGAAAGTTATTTCCGAATGGATTATCTATATGAAGCCGGTATCTCTCTCGACGGTATTGCGCGCGAGTAGAAACTGGTAACGTTGCACAAGCTGGTCCATTTTTTTTCATGCGCGAACAATCAATGTGACTATCATTGGAGTATTGTGGACGCGGGATCACAGATATCGCCATCGAATCCCAACAAATTTGTGACTCGTGGCAGACTCGAAAGCTCATAATCTGCGCGATGCACGCGAAACTCGCTACTTTTCATTACAGAATTAGGGGCATTGGTGTACAAGATTTTAGTCAGCGGTTTCCCCCTCGACGATAACATTTTTTAATGAGATCATAATAGTTATCGGAAAAATCTGCGCACTGTGTAATTCTTACTTGTCCATGTAATAGTTTTACAAGCTAAATTACACATGAAATTGACTTTTCGAAAATACTAATGCAATCGATGGATGCAATTTTTCACTCTCTCCGCCGTTTTAAAAGAGAGAATAAGCCAGTATACGTGATAGACTTGTTGTAAAAGGACGTATCCGCGTACAAAGAGGTTTAACTACTGTCTCGTTAAATCAGCCTGTGCTTCATATTTGACATACGCGCTGGCGTTGTTTTTGTCATGGACCCCCTCGATTCATCTCGTATAATATGCACCCTCACGAACACTGGACGCAGGTCTTAGTCCATCAATCCCGCTAAATGACGGCCTTTGGTAGGTAGGTGCGCGGGAGGGTACAGCGGATGCCGTCCAATATCCGCGGGTCTTGCGTGAGATCCCTCGGTCCTTGCGGCACGTGCGCTGACCGACGACTTAATGGAGCCTAGACCATACGGCGTCACCATGTGCCGTCTGTAATTTCTATGCGTTTGCATACGTCGATGTTGTGCATCCCTGTATAATACGCATCGTGTAGTGCCCATAATTACATTCGAAGCTGGCGAGAGCTATAAAGCGGAGATACGAATGTAATGCGGATTGCAATTTCTGACGAGGAAGATTCTTACGAAGAAGCGAGAGATTTCAATAGCGCTTGGATCAGAGGCGAATAAAAGAGGAGGCTTTCGCTTGAAGACCTTTTTTTTTAATAGTTTCAATATTGCCGGGATATACGTGGCATTAAGAAGTCGTCGTAAAGAAAAACTATTCATCGGTTGCTTAATGATTCCCCTGTCGACATCTCGCGGCGAGGGATATCGAAGCTTGCTGAAGTATAAGTCACCAGCGCGGGGTTGTGAAAGAAGTATGGCGACGATGAAAAAGTCAGAGGCCTCCGGGCTTGCCGACGCTCGTAAAAACGCGGAAACGTTCGAAAGAGGCCACGTACGTGCTCTTCAGGATGGCGATATACCTCCTCGCGATCTTCCACGAAACTCGCGTACGTTTCGGTTACTGGGTGCTCTCGGAAGCGCACCGGGGTGACGGTGCGGAAGTACGAAGTGCCGCCCTTAAGTCATTTATTACGGCTGCTATCGCGGAAGTTTATCATTGCGGTCTCGTATCTGCCGCGATGTGTTACGCATACGTTCGCCTAATATTTGGAACATGGCCACGTGTGACTTCTTCATTTCCCTTGAAATAATTTTAGTTTGAATAACATCACTCGCGAAATATGTGTTTTGAAATTAAATATACAGCAACAAGTTCGTTTTATTAATATCTTTCTATTAACTCAGATTGATTGATTCCTCGATATTATTACATTTATTTTTCTGTTACTTTTTTATAAGAGAGAAATATTTCCATACACTCTTTCTCTCTCTCTCTCTTCTCTCTGGTAAAAAATATCTTAATAAAAAAAATATTACTTTACTCAAGAAAATTATTCATTAGGCGGCTCCTAATAGCTTATTAACTTAAATTAAAAACTAATAAACAAATTAAAACATGCGTTTCTTTAATTTAAGTATTTATTAAATATCAAACAGTACATAATTTTAAGTTAAAAAGTTTTACTTTCATTCTATAAAATATTTACTAAGATATAAGTTTTACAGAAGAAAATTGGATTTCTTATTTGACAAAAACAATAATTTCATTTAATAAATAGTATTCTCTATCTCATAAAATCTTTATTTGAATATAGACAATGTAACGATTATAATTATAATGTAACGATATAAAATTAATTTACTTAATATAATACACAGATTTACATGAAACTTGATATTTTTATTTAAATAGAATAAATATTTACTTCAGCAAAAAACAATAATTGTAAGTAAACCTATTCACTTAGTTTAAAAAAATTTTTTTTTATGCACAAATCGTGTATCGAGTATTAAAACGAATGAGGCTGGAAATGCTTTTCCGAAAAATTATTTAGAGGCAATGTGCTATGATCGTAACGTTTGGAAATTAATGGGACGAATTGATAGAAAGAAGAGGAGAATTAGGATATAAAAGAGCGGTATATATTCACCTTTCTCGCGCTTTGTCATTGACTGTTATCTCAAGCCGAGCCACAGAAAATTCGATTCCGTTCTGAAGCTCGCGGGCGAGTTTATGAGGCTAACGAACCGGTAGATATCGAATTATGGCAAGGAGGAAGGAACAACAAGGAGGATAGAAAAGATCTTCGGCAGGATCTACGGACGAAATTGGTTTACACCAGTGATAAACGTATTTCGTTGCCATCCACTATTGCTGACGACAGAGCACGACCGTATTC